TACTGAAATAAATCTACTTTTTCATGATATTCTAATTTTATGACCAGCACCTGTATATATTTTTTAAATGTTAACGTTGAATAATTTTGGATGCACTAGTCTATGCTCATCTTCACACTATGTCTGCTAAGTCCTGCTGGAGCCTGATGTGATACAGGTGTGATGAAAACCACTAGGATGTCGATGTTTTCTCATTCAACCACAGTTAAATCAAGTCTTGTCAAGGTGGTGTGATTTATCTGGGTAGTTTTTTTTTTGTTTTTTTTGTGTGTGTGTGTTTGTTTTTGTGACAATACTAAGCCAAAATGAAATAGGAGTAAAGACTTGAGAGGATGACATGTTTTGAAAGTGAAGATTTTTAGGAACCTTGGCTTTTGGGCTTGACAGAGATTTAAAGATGCGATGAGGTCACAGCCTACTTTGTGCATGTCCACAGTTGCTCTTTCTTAAAAATGCACCAGTTTGTATTGTTTCTCACCTGTCTTGCTTTGTCCTGATTGCATCACAATTACATTTTGATCATGTGCTAAAGAGGTTATTGATTGAAAAGATACGGTAAGCAGTGTCAAAAACAATATGAGCTTCAGATATTTTGAGAGAATCTTGACAGTTAAAGAAAAAAAAAGGAGAGAGAATCAATACTACAGCTCTGATCAGCTTCAACACTACAGAATGAATCTTAACCAGCACCGACCTTGAGCAAATAAGAACTTAGCATCAGTAATGTCAGTCAAATGTATTGGTAATTATATTTATGAAGATACATGTGAAAAAAAGAATAATGATGCTAATTTCAAGTCTTTCATACAGTATCAGTTTTCAAAGACACATTCAGTGTTATATTATAATAATCAAACAAAAGGGGAAAAAATATTTTGAAAAAAGTCAAACACCACTCCCAGCAGCAAGAACATATAAACCCTTGCTCTTCTCTCACCCTCTGTGCTCCTATTAAAATTCAGTCCCTTAGCAAATCTAAAGAGTGGGCAGTGCATCGACAGCTCATACGCTCTATATTAGCACAGCAGCGCTTTCTAGCTGTCCGGCTGAACTTACACCTCACACGCTTAGCTCCATTTGTCTGTTGAGTTGCAGTGGGAATACGTTTAAAATAACAGCCTCTGCAGTTCAGAATGAAGTTCAGATTTAAGTGGAGGTAATGCAGATTTCCAGTCCTGCGCGTCGAATCAAAGTGCACTTCTGAGTTTACAACCCATTCTGATGATTTATCTTCAGGCAGTTGAGAAGGTTTGCCAAAAAAAAAAAAAGTTTGCACACAGGTCAAACCTGGGGGGAGTCATCTTCCCCTCATATTTCCCAMACCTGTAAATACATGTCATCTCAGTCAGCCAGCTCTGAAAACAATACCTCCGGATGTTTACAAGTAAAAACACCAATGAWATCCAGCCAATGTGATCTGTTATCAGGAGCTGGTGTTGTGGGTTTTCTCTGATGTGTTTTTGAGAGTTGTTATTTTGCCCGAGTGTTCGGTTGAACCTGTCAGCTCAACCTGTGAGTTCTTCCAACAAGCTCATTAAATATGTTTGGTCACCTTGACTCCAGCACCATTATTTACTGATCCAGATCTTTGAGAAATTTCATTTGTCCTTAGGTGAGACCAGGCTATTTTGCATGCAGCAAATCAAACTCAAAAATCAATATGGGGGTCTCAGACTTTTTAAATCTTCCAGTGACTGTTAATTATATTTTCTCACTGGTGCGACAGATTTTTCTTGTCAGCATTTGAGGCTGTAATTCATTTTCTAAAAGGACTCTCATGACGACTTTCCTCTAACACACACTGGAGGATATTTTTCTTCCTCTTCTGCTTTATAATAATTCAAAAGAGGCCACAGAGGTAAGTACTGTATTGCATTTCAAGGACTCATACGTTGAGAAGTTCCTAAAGACACTTGTTAAATAAGCATTCATTAACATCCCCGCACAGATGACGCAGCGCAGAGCTGTCACCTCTAGGCAGCATTATAGCTCATAAAACCCACAGACAAAGCGATAGCATCAGAGCAGAGTCACAGTTTAATGCTTAGCTGATCTTCATTCAAAGCAAAGGGAAATCTAAAAGGYGCATATAGCAGCTGAGATGAGATCCTGACTGGGGTCAGACTTTGCTTTATGTTTTGATCTCCTGGTGGTTTTATTTTCCTTTTAWTGTGACAGAGAGCACCTTTTTGTGGTAAATGATAACTTGAAAAGAGCWGCAGGGGAGTATGTAGCAGTGCAACCCCCTAAAGAAAGCTGGCTCTGTTCTGCAGCATGTCCTCAGGCCAGGGGCTTACAACTAATGGCCTCCAGATTAACGCTCCACCAAGATGCCTGCTCTCTGTTTTTAGCTGAATTTGACTGTGCATGCTTCACTGTTCCCATCTGTCTGTTTTGCCCATTCAGATCACAATCTTTCTTCCGTCCTTGTCTTTTCCATCTTTGTGCATATTTGCTCTCCTCCCCATCCTCAAAAAGGGACTTCCTCCTTCTCTTGTATTAGCAGCCTGGGTGAGTTTATTCTGCCCAATCTTTTTATTCTTATCTTCGCTGATAGTCTTCCATCAGGACCTTTTTCAATTTGTAGGTAGCAATTGAGGCCGTGATTGTGCTGATTGTGTTGTTGGGGATGACAATCGAGTCTCCGAGCCGTACCGCTGTCATTCCCAGACTCTGTCACTCCTAAATCAGCTTTTTTTTCTCTGTCTCTCCCTTCCTCTTTTCTTTCCCTCAATCAATACATGACTTTCTCACCTGGTGGAAGGAACATTTACTGCCAGCAGCTGTAGTGAGTCAAGTAATCTGTTGGCAAGAGTCTAATAAGTACAATGTTTGTTGTATGTGGACTGGCCGCGCCTAAATGTGAGACCTCTACACGTCTTAGTATTCATTATGTATCTGGGAACTTCAGTGATAACAGATGATCGAAAATGGGCTGTTTTCACCTGCCAGGTCATAAACCACTCAGAGCTGCGTTTACATTAACTCTACATGCTCATATGCTGAGTGCTCATCAATCACGGCTTGATATTTTTAGATTTAATTACTGAGCTTGTGCTTCTTGCATTAATAGCCCTGAAAATGCCTGAACACAACAGTGCTTTTGAAAAATGTCATTTAAACCCTTCCCTAKTTTTTAATGATACATCCACTTTGGAAGATACATCTAAACTACTGAAACGATAATTATCTCGTTAAGATCTGGCGCCTTTCCCCCCCTGTACAGGTCAGGTATGGCTCAGTCCTCTAGAGACCCAATTAGGACATCATGCAGCACTCCAACTCTCTAGATAGTTATTTCTATCYGAAACCCTGAGTTACTTAACAGGCTCATTTCATATTTCTGTGTCTGTTTGTGTCCCTTGAGTAAGTCCCCTGTATTTGTCTTTATGGCAGTCACAGGGATGTGTTTAAACTGCGAGGGGTGTTTTTATTTTATTTTATTTATGTATTTATTTATTTTTGTTGCAGTCCTTTCCTCATTCAAAGGAAAGAAAAGTTAGCCTTTCATTAAATTCACAATGTGGTTGATGGCAGCTTTATTACTTTTACATAAAAAAGGCTGGAAACCAAAGGAAACAGTGTTAAAGCTAGCTGAATTATGCACAAAGCAAAACATACACAAAAAAGATAAAAAAAAACAATGAATACAGACAGATTCCAAATCTT